GCTGGTGACTCCCAGTGCCTGTGTCACTACCCGGCATCCAGAAGCACAACTGGACTTGGAGGGAGGCTGAGATGACACCGCTGCTAGCCAGAGAGGACAGGGCAGGCCCAGGGCCACCGACTCCAGGGCTCTGCATCCCATGGTCTCTCCATGCAGCCCGCAGCTTGAGGACAAGGACCCATTTGGATGAACCTTTACCAGACACTGTGAGCGGCCCGGTGGGGACAGTGGAGGCACCTGAGCCTGTGCCCGGGCCCTGACAGCCCAGCTGGGCTCCTTGGGCATTGTCTAGCCACACTGGCACAGCGTGAGGCTCCCAGCAACGCTCGGAGATGGTGATCTAACGGGTGTGGGGGCCAGTTCCCAACACCCAGCCCATCTTCACCAAATGTCCCTGATGGCTCTGTGACAAAGGGGAGGCATGGCCGTGGCCAATGGACGCACAGTGTCCCAGAAATGACAAGAGCACGCTGGCAGCTCACAGCGTCTGTGAGCGAGACTTGAAATCCATCTAGGATAAACCTGAGCAGAGACCTTGGCCCCTTGTCTCCTCTGTGACGTGGGGACCTCTCCGCTCAGCAGTTCATGACAACTGTGGGCGCTGCTTCAGATGATCCTCAATAAAAAGAATGTAAGAGTCTTTAAATTCAAAGGCAAATTGTGAGCCACAGCGTCCCGTGGGCCAGAGTCCCCCTCGGCCACCGCGCGGCAGGGTCCCACTGGGGAAGGAGGGGGCTCTGGGAAGACCGTCCAAGTTGAAGACCCTACAGATCCTGTGAGAAGAAGAGACCTGGAGAGGGCAGCCTCAGGGTGGACCCACCACATGGCTGGGATGGGTGACAGTGTCATCAAGCCACTGTGGGCCACCAGGGTCCGAGGCACATTTCAGAATGGAGGCTCAGGGACGGCCCCCCAGCACAGGAGCCCTGGTGAGCTTTACCTGCCCGGAGCAGAATGACCTGGTCCTCCAAGGTGAGGTCCGAGAAGTGGGGCACGCGCTTGGCCCACTCGACCAGCGTGAAGAGCTGCTTGTCGGCTGCGTGGCAGATGTTGGTGACGGGGTCGTTGGTCTAAGAGAGGACAAAGTCGTGAGGGCAGGGCCTGGGGCTCTGCGATGCCTCCTCCTCCCGCCCCGCCCCAGGACGGGCACTGGCGGGAGGCCGGCCGTACCGAGCTCTCCATGCTCAGGTCCCCGTAGGACTCCGTCTTGGGCTCCACCGCGAGCTCGGCCTCCAGGATCCTCTCCACCGGCATGTCCTCGTGGCCGCCACCCGCACAGTCGGCCTCGCCCTCGGCCCTCTCGCGGCTCCGTTGCCGCTCTTCCTGCACAGCTGGTGCCCAGCAGGACACGGGGGGTCACCGCGCCACCCAGGACAGCAAGGAGCCGGGGACCACGCAGGTCTCAGCTTCCTTGTGTGAAACAGGGGTGGTCCTGGCCCTGAGGCAGCTGTCACGTGTTGACAGACACGCGGGTGCGGCACAGCGCGGGGGCCTCCGTCCACATCCTCCCCACTGCACCAAGTTTGCCTGCTCAGCGTGGGCCAGCTGCGGTGCCCCTGTCTTCTCAGGAGCCCGGCCCCTCACTCACTGCAGCCTCCCGTATTCTGCTCGACCCCCCCCCTGGTGAGCTGCCAGCGGGCCCCAGTTAGGAGGTGACCACACCCCTCTGGGCTCCCCTGACGGATCCCATCATCATCCTGTATTCACTTCCCACCAGGTCTGCGCCTCGAGCAGCCCGAACACAGCGTCACCTGACCCGACTCCTCAGGGAAGATGTTCAGGAGCCACTTTAGTAGGGAAGGGTGGAGGGATGTCACCGAGATGACATTCAGAGTCAGGGCTGATTCTGGGGGGCACACAGACAAGGGCGCAGCTGGAGCCATCTCGGGGGTCTTATCAAGGTTCACTTCTACTCTGGTCTGTACGTTAGGAGGCAAGGCAGACCCAGGACCGCCCTCTCCAGCAGGAGAGTGGCCACTGTCGACTGAGTGTCCATCCCCTGGAAGGCTGTGCCCTCCATCTTGTTCAACATCTTGTTTACATCCCAGAGTGGGCACAGCCCCTGTGTAAGCAGGCCACTGACCTTACACTCCGTGACTGGCCCACTGACCTTGCACTCTGTGACTG